CTACCCCCCTGGCCCTATCTCGCGGGGGGATACAATCATCGTGCGATGATCCTACCGGGGGTAACATTTTCCGGGAGGGTAACATAGTCGTCTTACACCGCCACGCCATCGCCCCGCATCAGGGTGCAGGCGCACGGCAGGCAACCGACCGGCCAGCACGCACCCGTGCGCTGCGGGTCTGCCTAGACACAGACGTCAGGCGCCCCAGCCGAGTATGCAGTGCATAGTGCAGGCGCACGGCAGGCAACCAAGGGGCCAGCGCGCGCGCCTGCGCTGCGGGTGTGCATACCTGCAGGCGCCCCCGGTCCAGATAGGAGGCGGTGCGCAGACCCGTAGCACCTGGAGCTCCTGCTACTCTCTAGAGGGTCCTGCCAGATACAAGAGCAGGGGATCTTTCACATTCCTTCCGTTATTTTTTCAAAAGGCAAAAATACCACCAACAGAATTCAAAGAAATGCCTTAACCCCTTCCTTCGCGCCCCCTCCTCCCGACAGGGAAAACCACATTATAGCACCCCTCAAACACACACGGCACGGCATATCACGATAACGATGGCAGATTGAGTATTTTATGAGGGCCATCCAAACTCTTATCTGCGGACACGACCCGCCCCCCGGTGGTGATGCGCCTCCTACTCCTCGGCACGCAACGCTGGCGACCCTTTCCGACCCTCCAACAGCAGCATCGATACGTCATGGGCGCGGCGTCGCCCTTGACCCTGCCCTGCGTGTGCCCCGGGCCGCCCTGCTGGGCCCGGTGGCCCGGCGGCCCCGCGGCAGACGCCCACTTGTTTTGTCCCTCCCCGGAGAGTTTCCATCCATCCAGCGACCGCAGGGCGGGGCGGGCCTGCGGGCCTGCGGGGCGCCCTGGGGCCCTGATGGGCACGCTCGCCCGGCCCCGGCAGGCAGGCCCACGTGAGCGTTACGAACACGCATCGGCTCGATCGACTCCCTCTGCTGCATGCGGCCATGTGTGTGTGTGTGTGAGCGTCAAAAAGTCACGCACACATGCACACGCGGGTGTGTCGAAAACATTAGAAAATCAATCGGCCGCGTTTCAGATCCTGCTGAAGAATTCCAGAATTCTGGGGGTATCATTGTCGGTGTGCAGGGAGACAGGCAGGACGCGGGTCTGGCAGCAAGCAAGCAACCGTGCAGATGAGTTTATCGCTCCACTCCACTGCACCCATTGCGTTGCCGCCCCGAGCCCCGGCCCCGAGCAGTGCCGCCGGCGCCGGCGGGCCGGCGGCGGGATCCGCACGGCCGCCTCTACAACACTGCCACACCTCCACGGCCGCCGGCAAGGGGGGCGGGGCGCCAAAGCAAGGGAATGACAGGCAGGAATGATAAGAAAGAAATGAAATAAAAAGAAGCCGTAGTGCCGTACCTGGCACGGCGCAGCAGTTACCGCCGCCTCCGGGCATGGCGTCGCACCACCTGCAACAAACACAGACCATGACATTCAGGACTGCCCCCCAAACTGCAATCAACAAGCCGTCTTTGGACGACAATAACATGTTGTAGACGTCCGCGCCGTCGTGGAAAAAGTGTATGAAAACTTTACGACCTGCTTTGCTCTCGACGACGGTCTGTTTATTTCCCTCTTTGTAACAATGTAAAACACAGGCCGCCCGACACCACTACCACCACTACTCCGCCCGCCCCGCCGGCGCCGGCCCCTGCACACGCCGAATAGCGACTCGGCAAATTCATTAGCATGTGCAGAGTCGCTCGTCTATTGAAGATGAGCGGGCACGAGGCCCCCCAGCGGGGCCGTGAGGAGGCGCCATGGTGAGGCTGCGTCCAGGTCGGAATCGATAAGAAGACGCCCCGCGCTCCCGAACGCCATCCCCGAGAAACTGATGAATCATGTCGTAAATTACGCCATGTACACCAGAGGCAGAGGCCACATAGCCGCGACCGCGCGGCGCCGTTGGAGAGCCCCCCCC